CAATATGTTGATAATTATACGCTATTAAAAAACAACAAAAATAAAATTACATTTTTTTGCATTTTAAAAACCATGGCCATCATACTCTAGTTTACCCAATGCCGATTATTTTTGTTGTAATGTGTCTCTAATCTGGACACAAGACAGAATACATAAGTAACATACATGTAACTATCCTTGTGGATTTATCTACATATACCCAGTGAGAAATGATTCGTCGATCGACGTCGAAATGATGTCGAATCGACGTCAATTCGACGTCAATGTCAATGTTGATTCGACGTCGTTTCGACGTCGATCGACGAATCATTTCTCACTGGGTATTTATATATATATAACATATTTTTATACATGTAACAAGCAATATTATAAGTAATAAAAAATCATGACACGTGTTACAATACATACCAATACGCCCATTATTTTAAGTTTTGCAGTACTGGTAAAAAGATGAGGAAAACTAAGAGAAAGAAACATTGAAATCGCAGTCTTTGAAGATCGGTTTCTGATAGAATTACACTTTAATGCTGCCTACCCAAACAGCACCAAGTCGACTATTAGTTGACTGTCAGTCGGCAGCAGAAGTCTAAAGTCGACTTCAAAGTCAAGCTGAATGTCAACTTATAGTCAACTAATAGTCGACAAATGACTCGACTATAGTCGGCTGTCAGTCAGCCAAAAGTCGACTTAGAAGTTGACTTTATGGCAATTAAAAGTCGACTTTATGATGATTAGAAGTGTACTTTATGGCGATCAAAAGTCTACTTTATGGCAATTAGAAGTCAACTTTTAGTCAATTTTATATTATTTATATTAACTACTAAATGTTTAATAGTGACATCTTGAAAACCTGATTGATTAAAATTTTTATATTTTAATTGTATAATATTTACAATATATGTATAATACAATTAAGAAATAATAAAATTATATTGATCAAGTCTTTGAAAATGCTCCAATTAAACTTAAATAATAATTATAATGAGCATATGTATTAAATGTTGTTGGGCATAGGACATTAAAGCGTAGTTCATAAGTCCGCGCACGAATCGAGCGCTGTGCTCGAGCGACTGTATGTACGTGGTTAGATGGCGTGCGAACAAAGGTTAAAGCAGTTAGTTGAGCAGTAGCAAGCATCGATACCAGACTTTGTAAAAATCTGTATCCGCATCTGAATAAACCATCGCATATATCTTGGAACGAGTACCTGTATCATTACGAACAAATGTATTATATGTAATAAAAACAGCCAATAAACCAGAGTATATATTATATTATATTATTTAATTATACGTTTATATTTTTGACAAATTTGACAGGTTTTCTTGATTAACTTGTATTAATCGACACATTAAATCGTATTAATTCGGTAGCCACGCGAAAAATACGACTCGTCTTATGTCGAAATACGATTGTCGTCTATCAGGAAGACACTGATAATTCACGAACAAACAAGGAGCATGCATATCGCGATTATCGCGCTACACGCGGAAAGTGAGACGTCGATTCGCCATATATCGGTTCGACATATTGATCAGAAAGATTAGTCAAAAATATATTTTTTACACATTTTTGCACTTTACCGAAAAAAAGAAAAAAGATGATGAAAAGATTTTTATGTCTTTCGGTAAGACAAAAAAATATATTTTAGTTAATTTTTCGCTTTACCGAAAGGCGACTTTAAACTTCCTGAAAATGTCGACTTTAGGTCGACTTTCAGTCTATAGTTAAAGTCAACAATAAACCATCTTATAAATAGTAGACTAAACGTCGACTTCAAAAGTTGACTTCAAGGTGACTAAAAAATTTCGATTATCAGCCGGCAAATAGTCATTTGTGCTATGTGGGTACGATCACAATCAAGTCTTCACTGATTGCGAAATCAATTTGCACTATTTACAAACATATACGTATGCTAGAGAAACAACAGAACTTCAGTCGTTGATATTGCGATTTGCAATACATGGTTCTGTCTTATAAGATATCTGAAAATATTCTACTTGTTGTTTTCTGATTAAATCAATTAGAATTAAATAAAAAATAAAATTTCTTCTGTGGCCATTTAAGTAACTTTTTTTTGTTCAAATGTTGAAATTAAATATTTGAATCAAGAGTAAGCCTAATGGAATATAAGAAGTATATTGGCCAGCGTTGAAGAGTATTTAGCGAATACGCATGTTATCGAAAGAATACACAAACAATATTTGGTTTCTCTGATAATACTGAATAAACGAATCGCGACAAAGGCTATCAGGTGAGCCCGATATGGCACACCGCCCTCCCGGTTTTTTAAAAAACCGTCAGCCGGGATTGGCTGACCCCCCTTCCTCTGACCACGCCCTCCCCCTGACACCCCCTCCCTTCCCCCAAGAACGAGTATAAAAGGACGAGCGCAACGCGAGGGAGCTCAGTATCAGAGTCTCCCAGCCCTGATGAAGCAGACTGCAACGCCTGCGAAACGTCGGCACCACACTCCAAACGGACGCGGCAACCATCCGGAAGCCATGAAGACTGAATAAACGTTATTGAATAAACTGCGAAATCGTCCAAGAGGAAAGAATGCTCATCCTTCGTTTTCCTCATTCCTGTAAATTAATTTGTGTACTAATTAAAAGACTAATGACATGGATCGGAACTTCAGCTGAAAACGAAAAAAATTAAGCAGTGAGAGTTACGACTTACGAATTTCAACCATTCGGAAAGCATTTTCAGCATTGCAAGTTGTAAAAATGGCTGCTTACGTTCTCGACTGTCATTGGTCAATCCTCATAAAACTGAAATCTTACTGCTGACGATTCTTCGTGCGTGTGGGTTTTTCTTATCATTTGACTCTCGGTACCCCATACCCCACTCTACACTACATCATTCACACATATCTTCACCACCAAATCTGTAAACATGTCTCGACAAAGAACCAGTTAGTTTTCCAGTGAAACAATAGCAACGCGTAACTGCGAGTATCAGCATAACTGAATATCCGGAATCAACCGCTGCAATATTAAATTTTGCTTCGGATCTTTAAAAAGTGTTTTATAAAACACAAGAGCGTCTGAAAAAGTGTACAAGAAAAAAATTATAAGGAAATAATAAATAAGTAAGTTAGAATATACGTGAAACCGAAAATATTGCAACGCAAAACGATTAAACCACGTTCTAAATATTTAGAAGAAAATGCAGCGTAATCTAAATAATGTGAGACAAAAGAAAAAACTATTATTATTGTGACGCCATAAAGTGGAAAAATTAAGTACAAGAAACAGTTTTACGTGAGAGTCATGCTAATTATCATCATGGTTTAAAATTCGTTAAACAAAACACTAATTATACTTGCTATGACGATACCATAATTGACGAATTATAATCAAAGTACAAAATAAATATGTTCCTGTAAAATAAGAAAATGATGTACGCGGATCTGTTTGTTATATGAAATAGTGCTCTTTTTAAACTTAACTGATTTAAAAAATGACTAACAATTATTATAGTCATTACTCCCACGCACGTGAGTTCTATCATGCAATTTTATTTGTCAAGATCAAAACAAATTATCTGTTTATCGTTCATAATTGATGTTTCTTTGATGAATGTTGGTGAATTTTTCAGTAGAAATGCTATTGTGTTAACGAGGAAGGTTACGATTAAAAAATTTTGAGTTTTAATGTTATCTGCGTAATCGTATGTATACTTTCTATTGTGATTATATGCTACATCATTCGTTACAAACATCTCATAGTCTCTGTTTAGAAATAAGAATTAAAGAAGCTACCATTTCGTTTGAGCGTCAATGTGGATCTGCGTAGTAAAATCTCTTCTCGGAACTATTTCCCATGAAGAGATTTCTATATAAAGCCGATTATTCAGTGAGATTTTTAAACTCAATTTATTTAATTTTTTAAAAAGACAGGATTTAATTAGACTAATCAACGAACGTCAATTGATGTGAAATATTGCAATTGTTATTAAAATATAAATGTTCCTACCAACTCGAAATGAAATTACAGACGCGAACATATTGCTGACATTATTTCGGACCTACTTGACCCTACTTCAAGGGTTATCCAGCAAAGAGTAAACAATATGTTCAGTAATAAATGCACTTATTGTTAGTGTTATACAGTTTTATTCCAATCAATCTTTAATCTAATTTTTTTATTATGGAAATAACTTTGCATTGTGGAAATTATCTTTAATACAAATAGCTTATAACATTTTGAAGTCAATGACTGATCTTATGAAGTAGATATCAGTATATACAAATAAATCCAAGTACACACATACACACGTCAGCCGACCCACTCAACAACGTCTCAATATGTACTAAATGACTCAAAGTTGGACAAAGTTGGACTCACACTTGGACAATTGCTAATAGAATATAAAAAAAAGTAATATTTAATAGAATCAAAAATAATTTTATGTACCTGTTCTCTAATCTAATTGATTATATCGAAATTTAATGCACAAATATTTGTGAATATTAATTGATACGATCAACCGAGCCGCCGCCGGCGGCGGGGGTTGATCTGAATTATATGAGTGTCTCGCCCGAGAGATTACGAAGGTAGTTCCGCTACTTCATGCCTTCAGATCACAAGTTTAGAGTCAAAGTTTTTCAAATTTACCGCCGAATCCGTGTCGCGGCGGCCCCGTTCGTCTTGTTTGTCATTTCGTTTAAAGCTTGATGTTCCCAAAAAATTATTATTATTATCATAGTTATTTACTTATTTATTTATTTTTATTTATTTATTTTTTTTTTTTTTAATTTTAAGGGAGGGTAGAGTAAGGGGTTGGGAATCTCTCGGGCGAGACACTCATATAATTCAGATCAACCCCCGCCGCCGGCGGCGGCTCGGTTGATCGTATCAATTATATTTCGTGTCTCGCCCTTCGAGATTACGAAGGTAGACGTTCAGAGTCTGAATAATTTTTTGGGTAAGCCAATTTATTGTATTTAGGATTTAATTGTATATAAAAACCCGTAGAAACTGAGGCATTCGCTATCATTCTGATGGTAACATTACCGTTGTTGCAAATGAATTTTCTTGGATCGTCACGGGTCTATTATAGAATTCTGTGAACACTTTTGAGCTCCGCGACCAACCTGCTACTTGTTTTATTTCCTCGATTCTTACTCCTTTTTTATATGCTTTGGATGTCGATGCATGTCTGGTACTATGTGCCGTAAAACTTTTATCTACTCCCAGTATCGTGAGGCTTGATCTAATCCATCTACCCAAAGTATCCACCCCTACTTTATTGTGGGGTTTTTGCACGGAGATAAATACCTTGTCTTCATTGTTCCTTATCTTCTTGGTGGCCTCGAGGTAGTGTAGTAACGTCCTAGCAATACAAAGTCCTGGTCTTTCCTCGAAGAATGGAAGTCTTAAGAGGGGTTGTTTTCTACCTGGTTTCGATGTCTTTATTCTTTCGGGGATCTTGATTTCTATTCCCCCGTCGGATTTGAGGATGTTCGAGATCCGGATTGAGGCTAAGGTTTGTAATCTATGCGCCGTTCCTAGCGCCATCATCAGTACTAATTTATACGAGAGTTGTTTCAACGGTAAGGCCTCTAATGGGAACCACTCCTCCAATTTTCTTAGTACTGGGTCGACGTCCCATGTCGCGTCGTATCTCGGGATACTTGGCCTTGATTTTGAGCTTCCCCTGATGAATTTTCTGATTAGTCCATTGGCTCCGATATCCTCCGCAGAAATGGTTGCCAATGCCGATCTTGCTGCGTTCAAGGTTCCATAATTAGCACCTTCCTTGTATCTTTTTGTTAGGAATTCCAGTACCTTGGCCGCCGACACCTCTAGTGGGTCCATCTTTCTCTCGTTGTTGAACGTCCACCATAGCGCTAACGTGCTGTTGTATTGTTTCAATGTCGAATCCTCCCATGCTCTTAGCATTATGTCTATTGAATCTTCCGATGCTCCTCTGTGTTTTAGCGCTTCCCTGATAGCCTGGCGGCAACCAGGGTAAGTTTTGCTGCTAGCGGATGGTGACGTGTCCTACAAGGTGAGATTAAAAGGTTTATATCTGGCTCAAATTCTAAGTATGGTCCTTTTATTAGGCTCTTAAATACCGGAAACCACGTCTGACCCGTCCACAAGGGGACAACTACTATTCCCGAGGCTTTATCGTTCCTAATTTTTTGTAGTACTCTTGCGATCATGCTGAAGGGAGGAAACGCGTAAAAATCTAAGTCCGACCACTTAAGGGTAAATGCATTTATGGCTTTTGCGTCGGGGTCTCTTTTCCAAGCGCAATATGTCTTACACTTTGAGTTTATTCTTGATGCAAATAAGTCTATTTCGGGTTCTCCAAAAGATTTAATGATTCCCTGGAATGCGTAATCTGACAGCTCCCACTCGATGTCCAAGTTTTCTATTCTGGATAGGGCATCAGCCTCTACATTTTCTCTGGATGGAATATATTCCGCCAATACCCATAATTTCCGTCTTTCGCACCAATTCCAGAATTTTTTGGCATCTGCATGTAGATGGTCAGCTTTTACACCTCCCATTCTATTTACGTATGCCATGGCCGTAGTATTGTCAATCCTGAGTAGGACGTCGCATTCTGACAGATTCCTGGCGAAGCACTTGAGTGCCAGAAGAGCAGCTTTCAGTTCTAATTGATTTATATGTAGCTTCGATTCTTCGTGGCTCCACAGACCATGAGCTTTATTCCCTTCGCAGAAGGCACCCCATCCTGTCATGCTAGCATCCGAAAAAATCTCTTTCCTAAACTCCATTAATCTTATCCGCTTGTTAGAATTTACCAAATTTTTCTTCCACCAAGTTAGATCTTCCTTTATGACGGCTGGAATCCGCATTCTCTTCTCGAAGTCCGTATGGTCCCCATTCAATGCTTCTAATTTTGCTCTTTCTAATGCTTTCGAGTGGATCATACCGTATTCCACGCCCGGACAACTTGCCACCAGCGAACCAATAAGTCGGGCCAATTTCCGAACCGAGCATGATTTTTCCCTCTCTAGATTATGGATCTGTGTGAGTAGTCTAGCTTTCTTCTCGGCTGGCAATTCTACGGACATATCCTTTGAATTCAGATAAAACCCTAAATATTTGCATTTTTGACCTGGATTTAAGTTCGATTTTGTTTCATTTATTATAAATCCAAGTGCTTCTAACAAACTACAGGTAATCCGAATATTGACTTGGCATTTGCGATAAGACTCTCCAAGGCATAGTATATCATCTAGGTAAATGACGGATAAGAGACCCCGTGATCTTAACCAATTCATAACTGGTTTCATTAGTTTTGTGAAGACTAGAGGGGACGAACTAAGACCAAACGGCAAGCATGTGAATTCGTATAGCTGGTTATTGAATTCAAAGCGAAGAAATTTCCTAAACTCTGTGTGTATAGGGATCAGGAAGTAAGCTTCTCTTAAATCAATTGTACCCATGAACATGTCCCGTGTTAGTATCCTACAGGCGGCTCTTAAGTCTTCTAGCTTAAAGTGTTCTGTATTAACAAACTCATTTAATTTTTTAAGATTTAGGATAAATCTATAATTCCCGTCAGATTTTGGTATGAGAAAATAACTTGATATAAATTGACCGTTTGTTGCTACACAAGTCGTTATCGCAGAGATTGATCGTAGTCGGTTTATCTCTTTTTGTATTTCTATGAACTCTGATTGGGACCATTGCCTCGTGGGAGGTTTCTGGTCCTGATGGGGAAGGGATTCAAAAGGAATCTTATATCCGTTGACCCATTCCAATATAAGGGGGTCAGACGTGATAAATTTCCAGGTATTTTGGAAGTTAGATAATCTTCCCGCGATCTCCTGTACCTGACTTTCGTCGGATCTTAACGTGTCCGGCTTCTGTATGGATGGGCCCGGTAACTGCTCGATCTCGTGTAGTCCGACCTCCTCGAAGATTCTGATGTCGGCTTCCTCGTCTGGTATTTCTGCTTGGGGCCCGATTGCGTAGCCGACTTGCGAGGAACAACCGGGCCCTTCCAGTTTGACGGTTTTGACGAACTGATTTGAGGTTTGAATGGTTGTGCCTTGATTTCCTGCCCTAGCTTGGTAATCATTTTGACCTCCTTAATCCTGTCTCCCAAGTTTTCGCCGAAGAGAAATTTGTCCGTTTTCTTCTTGGACAAGTGCTCTGCCATCTGTTTTGAGACACACGGTAGTATGCATGCTCTTCGGGCCACCGATTGGGAGTGATGTATCTCAGCTATTAATTTTGCTGCGTCCCACAAGTTTTCCAGCATCTTCCTCGCCTCGTTTGACTTAATGGGGACTAAGTCCGTTATGACCGGTGCGAGCGCTGAGAGCGCTGATCCCGCTAGGTTTTGAGTGATTTTAAAATATTTATCCTTCTTTAGTATGCTTGCGTTTAACATACTGAGTTCCTGATTCAAGACCGGAGCCTCCAAGTCACAGTTGCCTGATCTTGGGTATTTTGTCAGTAGGAGATCTTTTGTCTCCTTCTTGAGGCCTTCTTGAATCCAAGGTTTCCAGCGATTGGCCAAACTGGTGTGAATTTCCAGTTCTTTTTCGTTCGGGGGCTCCTCTCCCAAAATTAACAAGGTCTCCTCGTCTAATTTCAATGTCTCTTCTTCCTTTCCCTTCATGTCGTCGTTTTGATGACTCGCTGTGTTTGTATTCGTCTGGACTTCTGTCGCTGTGTCTGTTGGTGTGGCTGCTTCGGAATCGATGTCTCTGCGGACCTCGTCGATGATCGTTAAATCCTCTGTAAGAAGGTTATTGTATAGTGTCTGGTTTGAGTGGGAAGGGGGGCTAAGAGTGAGGCATTTTCTTAGCTTTAGAGCTGGTTATGATACTCGGAACTTGTCTTATCTCTCGTATAAGCTCGTCCGGTGACAATTTTCAGGTTATGTCTCGGCTCCCGTCCGAGCTCAACCTGTTTTTCGGGTATTGTCTTGGCTCTCGTCCAAGCTCACCCTCGTTTGAGATTCTTGCCTCGGCTCTCGTCCGAGATCAATCTCATTTTTACCTGAAATCTCGTCGTGATGCTCGTCTATGCCAGGTTGTGCCGACGCCGGCAGGCGCGACTCGATCAGTCTTTCTAGGCTCCTTAACTTCTTCCACATCTCCTTCTCCCTGTCTTTGCTGCGTGACCTTTTCTTGCTTTTTCCCATTGCTGATAATCTTCTTCTTCTTCTGTGACGACTCTAGATACTTGTGGCCTGGTCGGCACAAAGAAAACGAATGACAAACAAGACGAACGGGGCCGCCGCGACACGGATTCGGCGGTAAATTTGAAAAACTTTGACTCTAAACTTGTGATCTGAAGGCATGAAGTAGCGGAACTACCTTCGTAATCTCGAAGGGCGAGACACGAAATATAATTATGTATTATATTGGCTTTCAGGCTTTCGCGGCTGTTTTCTTCTTTAGTCTTCATGGCTTCCGGATGGTTGCCGCGTCCGTTTGCAGTGTGGTGCCGACGTTTCGCAGGCGTTGCAGTCTGCTTCATCAGGGCTGGGAGACTCTGATACAGTATCAGAGTCTCCCAGCCCTGATGA